GCTAGTGTTCCACTTCAAGATCTACTGGATCACACTACAACAAGACTTTTGGAGACACAGACTGGTGTTGTAAATACAAATGAGTATAATAGAGTAGCTCTAATATACAAAGGTTTTGATGGCTCAAGTGGGCATAGTATTTATAAACAAACATGTAATAATAATGAGTGTACTTGGAATCTGAAGAGTGAAGAATCTCTGTTTATTACATGCTTTGTACCTTTAGAACTCTTATCTATTGTTAATGAATAAAAGACTATTCTTTGGAGAAACTCTAAACCATCATCTACTTTGTACTGTCAACCTTTGCGATTTAAAATTGTTGAAGAAACTGCAGACCTTCTTCGTAGTGAGAAATTGACATTAAAAAATGAGATCAAACAGCTAACTAAAACAAGCTATATCCTACTTAATGGTAAGCCTATTGATGTTGACCATAAAATTGAAATTACTATGATTGATGGCAAAGCCCATACTGCATTATCTGATGTAACTGACTCACCACAGTGTTGCTCTCTTTGTGGTGTTAGTCCTAAAGAAATGAATGATATTGACAAGGTATATAGAAAATATTGCATAGAAGGTATATAGAAAATATTGCATAGATGAGTTTTTTCATTTAAAACACCTTTAATTTTTTCAGAAATTTTCGGATGTTTTTTGATATTAATTTTGAAAAAAAGTTAATATATTTTTACATAAAACTTTACTTACGACAACTTTTGCATTTAAACTAATATCTTTTTTATAATTAAAATTTTCACGAGATCAATTTTTGTAACAATTTTTTTTTCTTCTTTTTTTTTTTCTGCTTTTTAATTCATTCAAACTTTTTCGAATATTAGAAATTCCTTTTTGTAAAAAGTTAAATAATCTAAGTTCCGTTTGTCAGTTAAATGCGTTCAATTTTTAATAAAATAATTTTCCGGGATTTTCCGGGATTATCGTAGAAAAAAAATTTCCTGGATTTTCATAAAGTTAAATACTCATCTAAGATATTGTATAGAGTGGCGTACACACGGAGGGGACAGGGGCTCACCGCCCCGGGTGTCATCCACTTTTGGGTGACACCCAATTTATTAATATCTTATATTTTATTTTGGTTTATAATTAAACAGTCTTACATAAAAAAATAAGTGGGTATTTATTAACACGACCTACGAAATGCTGAATGCTGAAAGATATAGTTATCATTATTTAAAAAATATAATCGCTTAGTTTTCTTATTATTGTCGAAAACAAGGTTTAAAATTACATGTGTCAACGTTTCTAAATACTGCTTTAATTTCGTATATAAAAATAATTATATATAATATATGGGTGACACCCTATTTGCCGCCCCGGGTGACACCATAACTAGGAACGCCACTGATTGTATATATAAACTATTAGAAAATCACTCAAAAAAATTTTTTATTTAACACTGTTTTATCAATTAAGACTCATCAGAAATGCATCATTTCTGATGAGTCTTTATTGATGAAACACAGTGTTAAATGAAAAATTTTTGTAAAGCGATTTTCTAATTTAATTTATCATCTTTTAAGAACATTATTACATTTTAAAATTTGTTTATATATATATATATATATATATATATATATATATATATATATATATATATATATATATATATATATATATATATATATATATATATATATATATATATATATTTGTATACCTTTTTATATTTGATTAGTTTAAAACGCACTTTTTATTTATTACAGGTGTTACTGAAGTCGCACACTCAAAATAGATTACAATATGGGACTTCAATTCTACATGCATGGATACGAACATTTGAATGCTCAATCCATATTGTTTACAAATTGCCAGTTAAGAAATGGTCAGCAAGATTACTAGCTGACAAGCAACAAATCGAAATGCTAAAGAAAAAAATTCAACTTGCTTTTCAAGAGAAGATGGGACTGATTGTCGATAGGCCTAAGGCTGGCGGCTCAGGAACATCTAATGATGGCAACACCTCCAGAAGAGCCTTTCAAAATGAACAACTGTTTTCTGAAATCACAGGACTCAATTTTAAAGTTATAAAATTGTTCCATATTGTTCTGACTTGTATTTCATGTGGTTTTGAGCTTGATGCAGTTTTATTCAGGGAATACTGAACACATACAGTTAGGTTTTATGTGGAGTGCTATTCAAGGTATTATATGCCACAGAGCATTCACAAAATGCTAATTCATGCTCCCAGTGTTGTTGATTACATGACATTACCAATTGGGCTTTTAAGTGAAGAAGCTATAGAGGCTCGGAAAAAAGATTTTAAAAAGTATCGTGAGCATTTTACACGCAAGTGTGACCGTATCAAATGTAATGAGATTTATTTAAGTGTATATTTTGTTCTAGTGATCCACTCATTTCTTCACTAAAAAAATAGTTAGTACTTAGAAGAAAGTTTTGCCAGAAGGTGTTCTGCAACTGTTAAAAAACAGTGTTTAGTTGTTTTTTTTTATGGAATTTTACAGGCTAATTTTTGGTTTCTTGCTTAAGTTCTTATTAAAATTTAAATTTATGCATTGTAAATTAAAATTGTTAGTATTCTATAATTAACATAAATTAAAAATTTCCCACATACATTTATTTGGAACACCAGAGCATTAAAAATCTTATTTTTTTAATAATATGCAGTAAATAAGTCAAGAATTTGTATAAAATTGACTGTCACTATAAAAATATATATGATGATAATAAGGTATCCATAGCAACCAAACTTAATATCATAATATAAAACGCATAGGGGAAAGCGGGGCAACATGGCGAATGGGGCAAGATGGGTTTTCATATAACAACTCAACAAAAAATCTTAAAATTGGGTGAAAACGAAACTGTATTTGCATCTTGTATTTTAAAACACTTGTTGGCTATTTGAAATATTATTAACGCAATTTTATACACATAAGTTTACTTTTAGCGCCTAAAAAAAAATTCCTCACTTTCGGTTTCTCATAATGGATGGTGCCCTTCAAGTTTAACCTCTTTAAAAGTAGTTTTTTGCAATTTGTGTTTATTTTTTGTTACTTTAGTTAGAGTTATTGGTAGTTTTAAAAATTTTATAAAATTGGAGGTAAAAATTGCATAATAAGTCATCTTGCCCCGGTCACGTGACCAGATGACAAATTTATAAACTTTTTATTTTAATATTTATTTCAAATTGTTATATTTGCAAACTGAAAATTCATGCAAGCAGTGAAAGAATTTAATAACATAAACATACTGAGAAAGTATTATGGCTTCACGATTTATTGTTGTGCAACAACTCAGGGCTTTTAAAACGTTCGCCATGTTGCCCCGCTTTCCCCTATCTCGTTTTGGTGCTCTTACCAAATTTAGTGTGTATGACACACAAAAACAACTATAAGTAGGTTTATGCTACGCCAAAATAAGTATCCATAGCAACCAAATAAAAAAAAAACACCTTTATAAAAAGTGCAGACCTTACACTAGTGGTCATGCCAAATTTAGTGTATATAGCACACATTTCAAATCGCAACTATAAAAAGTAGATTGTTGCTATGCAAAAAAATAGTATCCATAGCAACTAAATAAAAATAACACCTTCATAAGAAGCTCTAACCTTACATTGGTACTCATGCCAAATATAGTGAATGTAGCACTTATATTAAATTAGTTATTAATTTTGAGATTTTAACTTTTAGGAAGGTAAAGCAAAATGCAGGGAGGGAGGGGGGGTGTAGTCGAAAAAAAAGCGTACGTACTTAACGGACGACTAAGTATAGAAAAGGTCAGTGTGGTATAGATTTTACGGGTATATATATATATATATATATATATATATATATATATATATATATATATATATATATATATATATATATATAGTCCATATAACATTATCAAAATAAAGTCAATAATTTAATCAGGTTTATTTCATGATCCAATTAAATTGCATTTTTTCCTATGCGCATACTTTATTTGCATCACTTTTACCAACAAATTTTTTTTTGAGCGCAAAATACGTGTGGGAAAATTAGTAAAAACTTTTGAAAATTCAGAAAGTATTGAAATAACCCAACAGGTTGAGATCGATCATCATTTTTTTCAATTAGGGATACCTTCATTCTAACTTCAGTGCTTTAGTAAAAGTCCCTTTGTTTATTGAAAATTTTATAATCTGGATCAAATATCTGCAAGTGTTATTTATGTTTAAAATACCTGTATTACATTTTTTTTTTTAATATATATATATTTCGCTGTTTAACAATAATTACAATAACAAAATAAATAAATAAAGATTTACATAACGGGAGCAAAAAAAAAGACTATAGTTGTCTCATCACTAAACTATAGTTGTCTTATTACTAAGAAACTTCATTTAAACCTGGTGATTTATTCCTTTTTTAAAGAGAAAAGGCTATTTCAAACACTTCAGGAGTAAAGCCGCTATCGTGCAGTATAGCGCAATTTAAGCATTCAAGATATACGTAAAATATATTTTTCAAATGATTTTTATTGACAAAATATTTCACTTTTTCAAAATTTGTAGGGTAAAATAAATATCAATTTTATTAATATTTATGCTTCGAGGTAGTATAGTCTTTTTATTATTTACTTATTTTTTATATTATGGCGTTACGTTTATTTTAATTTATTTAATTTGTTTATGGAATTAGTTTTTGTTTATTTTTTGAACATATTATAAACGTTATATTCATCCAAGGACGGATAATGTTTTTTTTTTTAGTTATTATTTATCAGCTCTTGCTTTAAAAGCATTTATTTTATTCTAACTGGGAATTGATCACTAATATCAATTTTAAAAACACCCTAATTTTTTTTAACTACACGTACTTCAATAAAAACAAATCAGTAGGCAAGAATTTTTATTGACTGGTTGTTGATAATTTATTTTTCTTGTTAGACAAATAAAAATGACGTTTGACTAATCTTGTTAGAGATGCGCATGCGTCTTAAAAGTATTTAAATAAGCCAAATATTTACTAATACTGGATGGCGTACTTTCGCAGTGGAACATTTTAATTTAATCTTGACTATGGCTGATTTATAAATTTTTAAATCACTTATTATCTCTCAAATAGTACTTCTAATGCAGCTAATTTTATCATAAATTAATCATTTTTTTATCTTTTTGTTTAAGAAGTTTAATATTTCACAATCAATATAATACAATTTCGCAAAAGGGATACAGAGTACTTAATTAGTTATCTTCCTTGATAATTTTGCTAAATGGCTGCAACAGCAACTCGTAATGGTTTAGATGCCAGCAAGTGAGCAGTATTTTAATACTTTTTGAATACTAAGGTTGTCCATTTGTAATATTTTTTTGGCTAGTCAACTAACTGTTTATTTACTGCAAGCCAACAATTTAATAGGTAGACCTAAGTATATTTGTGCATTTGAAATAAAGCTTACCAAAGTTTAAAAACAGCGTAAATTAAGGGTATTTTTCAGAAATAAAGTTTTTAGATTTTTTTTTTGTCTTAATTCAAAGTTTTTATTTGTCTATGCTTAAAACTCCTGCTTTTACACAACTGTTTTTAAAATTAGACCTAGGTAAAAATTGCTAATAATTGTGTGACTTTAAAGTTCCTTTACGACTAAAATTAATAACATCACTATAAACCTTTGAAATAATGGTTTTGGTTAATAAATACATTAGCTTTAAAGCCTCAAAGCGCTTTTAGACTTTAAAGCCAATATATTTATCATTGCTTTTATCGTCAATGTCAAATTTGCTATTAATGTTTTAAGAAATGGTTAAGAATGGTTAAGAAACTATAGTAAATTTAATGTTTTTTTTATGTGCTTTCGTCTTGATGTAAATTTTAATCTTAGACTTTTTTACATTGTTTAAAAATTAACTTAAATAATAAAAACTTATCTATTGTTTTTGATAGGACCTAATTATTGATATTTTAGTGTTTTTTGTTTTAAAAGTAGTTTTTAACAATAAAAAAAGGTACAAAAATGATTTTGTAATTAATTTTTTTAAATAAAAAATATAATATTATTTTGCCAATTTACTACAGATTTACCACTTTAGTAATACCTAATCTAAAGCACTGATATTTTTTACCATTTAAAATAGACATGTATAAACCATTAAAAGTATCCATCCTACGCTGAAACCCTTATATTAAATTATTTTTAGTGTTTCCAAGTTTTGACACTAAGTTACCTATCCCTGTGATTTTATAATTGATTAGAATAAAGAACTTTATGGTGATTAAGAAATGTTTAAAAACATAGACCTGAAAATTTAAGTAAAGTACTCTAATTTGATGGTAAAATTTAAAAAGTTATGCTAAAATTCTAATATTAGTCATTTTTTCAAAAAGTATTTTATTACTGTTTTGATTTAAAAATCAGAAAATCTTTTAATTTATTTAGACAATCAGTTTTTATTGTTGTCAAAATAATAATTTTAAATTCAATCACGTGTTTTTATGAGTATGTATTTTATAAAATAAAGTGCTTTTAAGATATTGTTTTTTAGATGTACATTCTTTGACTGACAAGTAGAGATTAGTGCATTTAATTGTACTTATATAAACTGAAAAATAAGGAGTTGAAGTATGCAAATTATGTTTTTATACATTTCTTAATTTGTATAAAATTCTCAATCGTAATCAATCATAAAATAGTTGTTAATTTTTATATTGTTTGGTATAGTTGCTTTTGTTCAACATATTCATTGCATAGGCAGTGACATATCCTGGCCAATATATCCCCCAAATTTTTGCCCAAACTCAATTTAAAATAATTTTACATTAGCACCAAGGTTATCATAAAATAAAACAATTCTTTATTATTTATTGTCTTGCTGTTTTGTGATGATAACTATAAAATTGTTGTTAATGTCATTTAGAAATGACTTTTAAAACAGATTATAGATGTATTTTAAGTCAATCAAAATGCTTAATTTAAGTTCACACGGATGAAATATGGAAAATGTTACAATTGGATTCAAATCTAAAACACGTTTTGATTGGATTAAAATATGAAACACTTAGCATTTATATTTTTAACTAAAAACATGAACTTGTCTTAAAATACTTAATACACTTCTTTGTTTTATACAGACACTAAATAAAAAGTTTTTAGGTTATTACTGCTAATTTAAAAAATGTTTACTAAGTTCACAATCAACATGCAGAAACATGAATAGAATATCATAACTTCAGAGAATTTTAAGTAGCTACTTATTAAAATTATCTATTAAGATTTCTTTGATTTAGTGTTTGTTATATTTTACACATCTTAAGTAATTTTTTGTAAAATAAAATATATGAAATTAATTCAGACTATTGTATTTATTGTATCGGCCTATTGTATTTAGCAGGAGTATATAGAACAAACCGAATAAGTTTAGAAGATCTTTGAGGAGGTTATGGCTTTTAAAAATTCTGTTATGAGCCTCAAAGAGTTTATGACACTTATTTGTTGTCTTCATTTTGATCGTTTCTAAGTACTTAAAACCAAAGAAAAGAAAACAAATACCTTGCCTTCAATCAATTCCAATAAATTTTAAAGCAGCCATTAGTTGTCAGATAAGATTTTTTTCTAGGGGAAAATTTTACTATTGATGAAATGCTTCTGAGATTTCAAGGTAGAATTCGGCATACCCTCAAAACCAAACAAATATGGTATAAAAGTTTATAGTCTAGTTGAGTATATGCTAGAATGTTTTATACTGTTAAATTGGAAATTTATGCTAGACGACAACCACAAGGCCCTTTCTGTTTTAGCAACAAACCAAGTGCAGGCCTTCTCGTTAGAGGCGTGCATTAAGATTTTTCAAAACAAACGCATTACTTCAGCAATTTTTTCGAAATAATTTTGCCATCAATAACTTTTTATTTATTACTAAAAACACATATTTAAAATGAAAAACAATTAATTACAGAGACTTTTTAAAAAAAATGCCAAACATAATTACTTTTTTCAATAGCGTCACTTTTAAGTAAAATAGAAAAAAGTAATTATGTTTTAGCATGGTTTTTGCATGCGCTCGCAAAAGTATGGATAATTTTACCTAAAATAAATGCTTTTGCAAAAACTTCAAAAGAAACCGTCCTTAAACAATTCGATCGTTTTCTTTTATTGAAGAAAGTGATCACAAAGGCTTAGATTTCTTTTCTATTTTTAGCAATTACATTAAAAGTTTAAAGCAAATGATTTCATTATAAATAAAATTGTGCGTGCTTTTTTTTTTTAGTTTTCTTATTTTCCATAAAGTGAAATAATGTTTGTTTGCATATACATACACTTTTAAAAGTTTTTTTTATTGTGCGTTTTTTTTTTTTCTTTGCAAATGTGTAAAAAAAAAAGTTTTTGAAAAATAACAATTGAGTAAATTGAGTAAATTGAAAAAAAAAAAAAAACAAGCATCTTTTATATATTTGATAACTTATTAACTAGAATAAAAATTATTTGAAATTTGTTTGACATAAATCTCTTAAATTAGACGTTCGTCAATAAATAAAGATGTGCAAGTTAACGTTCATTTAAAAAAAAGTTACGTCGCGTCCTGGGATAAAAAATAGTTGGCAAATGCGACTGTTTCAAGATTATTTAAATTCTTTTTTTTTAGTAAATAATTTCTTTATTAGAAATTATATTTCCATGATAAAACGGTTTGTAATTATTTTTTGATAGCTTCTGTACTCATTTTGCCTAAAACTCAAATCTGAATATTTTTTTTCAACGATTGCTTCTATTAAGTTGCATTTTGTGGCAGTTTAATTGTAATTATGGAATCAATTAAATTTAAAATCGCATTTACATTTGCTTTGTTTATTTTTAGCGCATTTTTTAAACGTGCTAATTATTGCAAAAAGCTGTGGTCAATTTTTTAAAACAAAGAACTATATGCGTGTTCATATAAAGCGTCCAATCGCACGCCTCTTACGAGAAGGCCTGAAGTGACTTGGTGATAAGAATGGCTGAACCCTTATTTGCATCGGGTCAGAATATAACAGCGGATAATTGGTTTACTAACTTTGATCTTATTGATAAATTAAAAGCTTTTCTATGATGCACATCAGAAAAAACATAAAACAGTTGTCAATTGGATTTATAAATGTTAAAGGTAGAAAAGCAAATACAGGCATATTTGGTTTTAATAATGATAATGTTTTGATCTCTTTCATCCCGCGCAAAAGAAATAACATTCTAGTTTCCAGTTTGCATGATTCCATTGACCCTCAATCTTCAGCTAATGAAATCCGAAATAATCACTTTTTACAATCTAAGTGTGGAGTTGATGTAGCAGATCCAATGTGCGCTTCTCATAATGTGAGCCGAAACACCAGACAGTGGCCTTAAATAATTTTATATACAATGCTTAATGTTGTTGGCATCAAATCACAAGTAATTTACATTGGTAATAACCTTGGAAAAAAAAATTATTACTAAAAATTTGTGCTATGAACTGGTAATCAAACACCTACAGAGAAGAAGCATGAATACCGTTGGAATACCTTATAGCCAACATATTAGGATGCAAAGATTTTGTCTAAAAAGTGATCAAGAAAAATCTCCTTCAACTTGCAAAATACGTAGGTGTGTCACATCTAGTTTAGAAATGGGTGTGAGAAGGCTATTTCAATCCGAATGTCGTAAATGCCACCAATCTCTTTGCGTGAGTCATCAGGTTTTAGTCTGTCAACCATGCTTTTCTTTATGCAAATGCATCACTTTAAGTCAACATTAAATATGATTTATGTAACATTAATTTACTTACAAATAAAATATTTTGAAAAGTGTTGAGGTTTAGTATTAATAGTGTATTCTTTGAACAGACGGAAGTAACATCTAGCATTGTGCTGCTAAATTTCATAACATGATGATTTAAATGATTTAAATTTTTACAAACTTTTCACAATGTTTAAAAATGCTTTAAATGATTTTTAAAAAATGTTTAAAAAAATTGTTATTTAAATTTTGTCTATTTAACAGTTAATTTAAATTCTGATTTAATAACAAATTTATTGCTTTATTTTTTCAAATGTAATTTTTTTCCACACAACAAATAATGTAAGAAACATACATATGAAGGGCTGTAAAAAAAAATGTTTTTTTATTCTTTTTTTTTCTTTGTCTGAGAAGTATTTGAATAAAGTCAATATTTCAAAAATTTAAAATTCGCAGTAGCATACATATACCTTGCAGTAGCAAACATATACCATCTTGATTGTATTTCTCCCATAAACAATAAGCTTTAATCCCAGATTTTAAAGAGTTTTAAAAAAATAAAAAGTTTTAATTCTTAAAAAAGTACTTTTTTTTAAATTTATGGACTGTCCACCCAAACTGAAACCAATAGTCAATGTACTCCCTGTGCCTATGGCTGAATAAATCACTTATTTCTCTATGTTTGCACTAAGTGTGTCTATCTGAGTTATTCGGTTTATAAATGCAAACTTAATAGTATAAAATAATTTGAAAAAAAAAAAAAAAAATTATTAAAAAAAAAAACTCCTGGTTTAAAGTGATTTTTAAATAACAATTCTAATTATTTTTGTTGATTAATTTAAATATTTTATTTCCATCTTGTTTTGGTCAGAAATAAAACATGAGTCCTTTTAGGTGCCTTTTTATTTTTTAAGTATATCTAAGTAGAAAGTATATATAGTTTTTTTTTATAGGACAGATGATGTGAAAGCTGCTGATTGGAAGTCAAATTTAAAAATCCCCCCAAAAGATCAAAGGATTAAAACAGCTGTAAGTAAATTATGGAAATTTTAATTGTTTTGAGCATTGTGCTTAAGCATTTCTTTTAAAGAAACTTCTTTAAAAATTAGTTTAATACATTATTCTAACCAAAATGTACTAAAAATGAAGTACATTCACATTATATAAATTTTAGCATAATTTTTTAAAGTATGAATAATACTTTCTTTAGAAATTAACTTCTCTGTTGTCTTGGAACAATCACAGTGAATAAAATACTTTATTAAGTCAGTTTTGCACAATCTCTAACAATTTTTTTTCAAAGAGTTATGTTTTAAAAATTGGTACAATCTTTTGCAGTAATTCATAAATTCTTTAGAAATTAATTTAGATCCAATAATTTTGTTTATTATGTCATGTGAATTATATTGATGCATATCATACGTTACTTTTAAAGCAATGTTTCTAATCTTCTATTTTCTGTAAACCAATCAGAAGCATTCTGATTGATTAACAGAAATTTATTTAACCCATGTTTTGGGTCACATGATTTGTTTTAACATTTTTTGTCAGTTTAAACAAATCATGTAAAGTTTTACTACTTTTATCCTTTTAAGATGCACGGAGCTCAAATGTTTAAATTATAGATCAAGTTTGACAGGCTGAAATAAAAAAAATTACATTGTATAAAATCATTTTTAGACAATCAAATTTTTAATAAATTTTATTGTCTTATTTTTATATGCTTAACACTTGATTTATATGCATTACATATTTTGTATATGTGCAATATGTTATGTATTATTTTGTTGTTCAACCAAGTAAAGCACATGGCTCACTTTTAAAATGCGCAATATTTTATATAAAAGTATTATTCATCCTTATAGTTGTGTTGGCAGCTAAATTACTGCTGTGTTTTTTTTTTAATTTTTACATTGTTCAAAGGTTTAATAAAAACCAACAACTATTCAACTTTTCCCATAGAGTGAAGATGCTTCTCAATAGCAGTGAGAGTATTCCATGTTCACTCCCAGTTCTCTTGTCCTTTGACGTAAATTTTTATGCAAATGTTAGTTCAATCGTTCTTCATCAAGTTCAGTTGGGCGGCCAAAAGGAGATGCATCTTCACATGCGAAATTTCCATTTTTGAAATTAGCATACTAGTCAAACAATTCTTTCAGCATGCTCTCCATATGCAATACAAATATCACAAGCAGCTTTTGTGGCTTTAGAGTCTTGATTAATAGCACAATGGAGGCGTTAAAAATGCACATTTTTCTAAACCTAACATTCTATTTTGATGATCTGAAAAATAAATAAACAGACTAATTCGAATTAACTTAAAATATAAAATAGATTAAATATAATTTAAAAACACAATAAAGAAACGAAAACTTAGTTGTCAACCTTAGTTATTATATCATAATATGTTATTATATCATCTTAGTTATTATATCATAATATAGTTATTATATCATAATATGGTAGTATTCTTAGTAATAATATCATTTTTTGTAAAATATCAAGCTATGGTTATATAGATTTAACATGTTATCTTTAATGATAATTTAATACATTTTTTGAAAGATGTAATACAATATAAACTTTTGTAATACAATATATATGATGTATATATATAAATGATGTAATACAATATAAACTTTACAATATAAACTTTTAGTGTAAATCTATTTAGTTGTATTAATTTTAATAACACTATAGCTTTTGGTTAATGACACAAAGAATTAATAGCATCAGTTATATTATTTTTTTAAAGTTATAATTGCAGGCATTACCTGAAAAAGAGCTAAGTCTAACAGTCTGCCAAACTGAAAAAGAAAAACATATTAAAGCCTTTAAGATAAAAAATATGAGGTATTAAAAGGAGAGAATAAAATGTTCAAGGTTTTATCTTTTAAAATGATATTGATACAAAATAACAAGTTTTTTTTAATTTTAATTTTAAACATCTTCAGATCAGACGAATATTACTTTTGGTTGTTTTTCTGTCAGGTTGGTCAAAGCTAATTTTAAAATTAGGCATAATATTGTCAAAGCATAATAGTTGTGAGAATCTTTTGAAAGAACTTTTGTATTTTTGTTGGAGTAAATTTATTTTCTCTGTAAAAAAATTTTGTGATCTGGTAAATTTGAGGTCATTCACCATTCCTTGGTGTATTTTTATAAAAAAGTATTTTATAAAAAAAGTATTTAGAAAGTATGTTGTTGTTGTCGTTGTAGTCCTTGTGTGATTTATATGTATTTTTATAAAAAATAAAGTACCTGTATTGTGATCTATTGTCTCTTTTTGTTTTTTTATTCTAGATAATACAGTCTTGGAAAAAAGTTTAAGACCACCACGTATAAATACTATACTTTGGTGCCTAAAATAAAATTGAGCGTGTATAAGTTTCTATTTGGCAACCATAGCTAGTTAACACAATTTCCCAATTATTATTAAATAATCAAAAAATAATTTCTCAATTATTTTTTGTACTGTAATAATTTTTTCATTAAATTTTCAGTTTTTCGCAAGTGGTCTCAAACTTTTTTCCAAGACTGTATATAGGTTAGTCATGTTCTGCTTTGATGCTGTTCTGTTCAAGCTAATAAGGATCCATGTTTAGATATCTCAAAAGTTAAAATAGTTGTTAATATAGAACTATCAATGTGAATGGCTCTCCGTGTTTCTTTTCAGGCACAGTACATTCTTTTGTTAATTTTTGCCTGGTTTTTTCTGAAGTGTAGAGAGTTTAAATATTAGGTATGGAGAGCATCAATTTAAATATTTTAGTGTTGGTTTATTGTTTTGTTCCAGAATATAATCTTTAAAGTTTAAGTTCATTTGCCCCATGCAGGCTTGGTACCACTGTAACAGACTGCTTATATATTTTTTTGATTACAATTAGACCACGCCTGTTTTGATGTTTTAACAATTTAAATGCTATAAGAAAATTGTTGTTATGAATAACTTTTAATCATAGATCTTTTCTTATGTTTTTATATAACGTGAAGGATTTAAATAAAATAAAAAATTAATTATAATGGTTGTTTAAAATAAGCACAATATTTTTTAAATTAAATGTTATTTAATTTTTTTATAAATTTTTTATAAATTTAAATGTTTGAAACCATTCCCATGTCTTTCTTAAAATGTTAATTTTAAGATAATTTTTTTAAGTTACTTTAAATAAGTTAAATTAAATTTTCCATTACAAAGTAATGATTAATTGCTTTATTTATTTATTTTTATTTTTCTATTTTTACAAAAAATCGTTTAAATGCTCTTTTTTTAAACTTGATTTACTAATCAAAGCGTGAAATGATTTAAAAACTTTTAAAAAGACTCTTTTCAATAATTTAATTTTACTTTTCAATAATTTAAATAAAATTTGTTTAATAATTAGGCAATCATTAGAAGTAATTTGTTTTAACCATTTTGTGTAACTTTTTAATAGAACATTTCAAAAGATTTATAGTAATTTATCGACTAATTAATTATAATTAATAAGTAATAAATCAAACGCAATTAAAAACAAAGTAATTTTTTCTTTATTTTAGTTTGAGTTTTGTTTTAAAACTTTTTTTTCCACAAGAAATTGTTTTCTTTTTTCTTTAGTTTTTTTAGTTTTTTTCTAAGTTTAAGTTTAGAATAGCATTTTTCAGCACATTTCTGAAATGTTAAATCATCTAAACAGTAGTGGTCAAGTTGTCAACAAAAAAATTATTTGCGTGGTAAGCAATAGCGTTAAATTGCACGCCATTCCTGTCTAAGCCTGTGCTATATGATAATGTTATATTTACTTATATTATTTTCTGTATTCGCTTTAAAAGCTCTTATATAAAATTAAAAGTAAACAAAAAAACATTTTAGTCCAGCTAGTGATTCTTATCAATTTGACTAATTTTAGATGGAATTGAGGTTAAGTTTAGTGAGGGGCAATCGTCTAGTCAGTTACTAAGCCTTGTCTTTTCATTGTTAAACCTGGCTGCTGTCTAAATCAAACTTTATTTATTTTTTTTATTGCATTCACTTTTTTAATTTTAGTTTACAATTTCATTAATTAGTTTTTAAAGGATCGACTCCCCTCCTTGTCTGCTGTTTTTGATAAAGGAGGGGGTGCGTTAGTACAAAATTGTATCTTTTGTACATTAATTTGTAATTGCTATTTTTTCAAACATAATATCTCTTATATTTATATAATATCTCATAGTTATTGTTTTTACTTAACATAATATTTAAAAAAATAAAAATAAAAATGCAAATATTACAATATTTAAACACTTTGAACAGTTATAAACTATTTAAATATTATTTAAAACTCTTTAAAAATAAAACAAACACTTTTATTTTTTAAGAGTTTTAATTATTTAATTGTTATTGTGAAAACTTTTATAAAACAACAATAATACTGAAAAATTGTTTTGCCAATATAATGCTTGTGTATACATTGTGTGTATATGATATAAATAACTTTGCTACATTGTTTTATTTCTGGTTTAATAGTTTATTACTTTGAGAACATAAAATTCGTTTAAAATAAAACAAAATAATTTAATGGATTTATTCAAATTAATAAAATAGAATTGATGAAAGCATTATCGTTATACAACTTTAAATGTGATATTTGTGTGAAAACAAAGTCTATTTATTGACCAAATGAGTAAGATCAAATAAAAAACTGAACAAGTAAACTCAAAAAATCTAGCATCTATTAAAAATTTAAGTATGAATAATTTTTTCATTCAATGGGTTTTTAAGTTGATGTTTTTATTCAATTTTTTTCTAATTGTTTTGCTATAAAATAATGAGAAAAAATTTGGTTTAATCAATTTATATTTCCATAAGTCTAAGTAAAACGCCTAAATTTTTATTTAAAAAAGACATAAATATTTTGAAAAGTGAAATTAGAATTATTTAATTTTTTTAAATTTAAATATTTTTATTTAACTCTATATTCAATAGAATGCTTCTACTGTTTAAACTATTTTTAAGAAGAAAAAAATGATGCAGTTTAAAGAAATATTTAACTATTAATAAAAATGTTTACGACTTAAGAAAAACTTTCTAATTTGCGCTTCTAAATGTTGTTGTTGTAGCAACAAATATCATGTTGTTGTTGTAGCAACAAATCTATGCTTGGTTTTTAAGATTCTTGCTATTGCTATATAAATGTTTAATCTTGATACTGCTACAAATAAAATAAAAATATAAAAAAACAGTATCGCATTTTTCATATTATATTTGAAATTTTTTATTAAAATAATTTTTAGTTAAAAGCTTACATTATTTGTTAACAACATAAAATATAAACAGAAACATTTCTTTGGCTAACTTTTGCAAGTAAATGTCTTTGAGCATATTAAGTAAATTTAATAACTAAGTAGCTTAACTGGCTTATTTTGATGTAGTTTATAGCAAAATTTATTTGTGATGCGTTTTATTCGTTAACTTGGAAATGATTCTAAATCACATTACTTTTAACTTTAAAATAAATTTCTGATATTATTGGCTTCCACACAGAGATTTAAAGTAATTAAAGTTCAAAAGCGCTTTATGTCAAATAAAAATCTCTGTGCAAGAAAGCAAATGGTCATACTTTTATTTAAATGTTAAATTTAGCGTGACATACTTTATGTATGACCCCTACACTAGTCAAATGTAGTAGGTTTAGGTCGAAAATTTGATTACTTCAAAAATTTTAGTTTCATGATATTAAGGAATGATAAACAGACTGATCTATGGAGAGAACGAATTGTTTGGCGTACATCCTGATGAAAAAATCAACTTTTTAGGGAATTGGGGCAAATTTTCCCTCTCCTCAAATTTTTTTTTAATATTTTTGGGGAAAATTTTTAAATTATTATATTTCTTTAAAAAATATTTTTGTTTTTACTTGCTAAAATGCAAATCTAAATGATTTTTAAATAGATTTATAGAGTATTAAAATAACAAATATGTATAATATAATACAATTATAATGTCCAAGACATAATAAAATATAACTAGAATATATTAAAATAAGAAAGTCCATGAAAAATTAACAATCAAGCTCATAAACAAAATTAAGCTTATGGATAAACTTACAGAAAAAGCAACATAATTTAGAAATGAATTTATGGAGTATTAAAATAACAAATATACAAAATATAATACAAAAAGTATAATTTACAAGACATATACAATATTACATAAAAGATAAGTAATCGTATTATAATAAGAAAATCCAATGATTGATTTATATCAAATCATCTACACTATTGCTTGAATATTCTAACACCGCTCTTCTCAGTAGTTCTCCGTGATTTGATCTGGATTCAGATGTTGCGAATCTACTCAAAATTTTTAGCATGTTGTGATGAACAGATTCGGAACATTGCTCAGCAAATACACCTAGAGGCATTCTAATATTGTTTAAGAAAATAACAAGGTGGTGTTCAATAATATGACCTTTCCACCCCATTGAGAGATTGTGGTTAAAGTTAAGTTTAACATAAATTTCAGTTTCCTAAATCAAAAGTAAAAAATAAATAGCTAATATGCCTATGACATATTAAATATTTATAAATAAGAATTGTTTTCATGTTTATTTCTACATCATATTCAATAATTACTTTCCTAAAATTATTTTCAAATTTTAATTTACCTATAACTTCTAAATATACATTGCAATGGCACCTGCATAACCCTCATGAAGTTTCATACCAAAGCACTTATCGACAACTAAAATTTCATGGTTAATGTTGAAGTTTAATCATATTTTTTAAAATCATGTTTTAAATTGAAAAAATAGTTCATACACAATAAATATATATATGTGTGTATGAGGTGTGTGTATATGTATAAATTACCTATGGAAAACGATTTTAACAGTTCAACAACTGGATGATAAAAAGGATAATGGTCAAAAATATGTTGTTCCAAATCAGGCAATAGCTTCCGAATTTTGTTAGCATTTCTACCATCTAACTCACCTCCATTATATCCATGCCAAATTATCCCATGGTTACTTAGCCATACAGCAATTTCTGGTTCTTTATATAAAACATTAGAAATCTCTGTAACAATCTTCATCAGCAAATGAAGTTCTGGTGGAGGAACTACATCAAGTACATGTGTATCTTCAGCTACATCAAGCAGACATGGATGTATTACATTTTTGTAGATCTGCATAGAACTTTTCTTAGATCCATTTTCAGCAAAACTTCCATACAGCAACTTTAACTTTTTGAAAGTTCTCAGTTCTCCCAAATTTGACTTTTCACCATTGCAATATAAACAAGAGTATTTACCTCCATGTCCTGATAAGCCTAATATTATATTTAGCAGTTTAAGATAGAACTAAGTAGAACTTAAGTCTGTTGAACATTATTTTCTCGATAATTATCTGAAGGTTCGCATGATTTTCAGTAACACTTTTGACAAATGCCAATACCAGAACTTTATTAACACCAGTATTTTTGTTTTCTCGACAGTCAATATCTGTTTCTATATTAAAAACATTCATTACAAATTTTAAGGATCCTTGACCACCATCTATTCCAACACGAATAGTAACTTTATCTATTGCTAGTCCCCTAACAGTGCAAATATGTTCAACAAGTGATTTGGAATCTTTCACATACACTAAATCTTTACAGTAAAAACATCCTACAGTATGTAGGATGTTTTTATTTCCAACCTTTTTCTTAGCTGTAAACTCCACTTTTTCTATTGCGTAATAATCATCAAGACTACACGACCATATCTTTATTTTCTTTGAAGTGTTAGCTTCCACCCTCAATCTACCCAAATCTTTTCTGCAATCCATTGCAATTTAATTTATTGTAGAATCTGATAGATCGTGCTTTCTTTTTATATTATAGAAAGTTTGACTTAATATTGTTTTCATTGTCTTCTTCTTTCCTATCTGTAGACTCAACAGAGTTCCGCCTGTCAACAATTTTATAGTTTCCCTCATTTGAATGTTTTGAACTTGCTGTATTTTTTTTATTTTAAAGATTTGGAGAGGACTTGTTCTACTGTTTTTAAACCTAAAATTTAAAATTTAAAATTTGTGATAAGATTTAATAAAAAAGTTTACTTTTATTCAGACTATAATGTATTTATTCTGTTACCTTTTGAGATTAACAACATTCTTAAGTTCTCCACAGTATCTTTCTTACTACAGGAATGTCGAATTCCCACTCCGATTCTTTGATAACAATTAAAGCAAATTTTTTAAATAACTTCATTTGATATCTCAGGTTCATTTAAATAAACACTTAAAACATCCTAAAAAATTTTTTTTTATACTTTATAAGTTAGCATTAATGGTAATTCAAATTTTCAAATCAATTATGAAAATTACATCTTATATTTTATGCAAAATGATTTTCAAATGTTTACGTTACTAAGTTTACATTAAAAGTTATACATTACCTTCAGGGTACCTCTTTGGATTTATCTCTTGACATAACACATAGTGGACAATCACAGGTTGACTCTGCATCACCTATATATATATATATATATATATATATATATATATATATATATATATATATATATATATATATATATATATATATATATAAATATATATATATATATATATATATCCTTATAGTGTAGTCGAAAGAGCGTTTTAATGTAAAAAAAAGTCTCTTTCGACTACAATTTTAATTACCTCGTCTCTTAAGCTGTATTTGATTGTCGTCGAAATGTCAAAGCAATTAAATTAATGCGGAAGTACATTAAATTTTATTGTTTTTTAAAAATTTTTTAAAAAACCGCAATAATAACGACTAGAAAGTTTTTTTTAATTAGTAGTGTTTTTGTTTTTGTTTTATTAAAAAACATTTTTAAAACATGTGTAAATGTTGCTACATCGACTATCTTTTAGCCTGACTCGCAACAGAGTGCTGCTACATCGACTGACAAATAGCCTGACTCGCTAGGGAGTGCTGCTACATCGACTGAGGGTTTGATTTGGGCAGGCAGTCTATCATTTGAAAAAAAAAAAAAAATTAAAGTTTTTAAACTTTTCTAGTCTGGTTTATTAACGCGCTCTTTAAAACTACAGTTTATGGGAAACTCTTTTTAACTACCATGCAAGAGTATATATATATATATATATATATATATATATATATATATATATATATATATATATATATATATATATATATATATATATATATATATATATATATATATATATATATATATATATATATATATATATATATATTTAAACAATTTCAAAATGTATACTCAATTATAAATTAATATATATATAAATATATATATATATATATATATATATATATATATATATATAATATATATATATATATATATATATATATATATATATATATATAAATATATATATATATATATATAAATATATATATATATATATATATATATATATATATATATATATATATATATATATATATATATATATATATATATATATATATTTAAGAGAAATATAGAATACATATTTACCTTTAAATCTTGGAAGTAATCTAATTCTCTCAGATGTGAGCAACCAATTTTCTAAAGTTACAATAGATAATGACTCTCCTTTTTTGGCAGAGTATAAGTAAACCTTGCAAAGTAGATCTGGATTGTAGTTGCTGTTTGCATACATTTGAACCAGATTTAGGAACTGAGTTCCAGGTTCCAGGTTCCAGCAGAGAACATTTTAAATTTTTTTTACCACAACAAGCACAAATAATCTTGCGAGACAATAAATGGTCTCTATGTTAATAAGTCATGTCACTTATATTAATTATGCTAGTGATATGTGACTGAATATATATATATATATATATATATATATATATATATATATATATATATATATATATATATATATATATATATATATATAATATTAATACAAAATATTTTGAAGTTAGAAATAAAAATATTATAAATTATCAATAATTATTTCAACTTTATCAAAAACTTTTACATAAGCACCAAAATATTTTTTCAACAAATTCTATTCATTAATTTTCTTATTGTTTAAGAAAGTAAAAAAAAAAATTATAAAAAAATTGTATGTCACAATTTTTTTTTGGGAGGGGGGGGAATTTGCCCCAATTCCCTAAAAAGTTGATTTTTTCATCAGGATGTTCGCCAAACAATTCGTTCTCTCCATAGATCAGTCTGTTTACCATTCCTTAATATCATGAAACTAAAATTTTTGAAGTAATCAAATTTTCAACCTAAACCTACTACATTTGACTAGTGCCTAATAAAAACCTCAGACAAAAACATTTTATACTTTTAAGAACAGCAAAAATAAAAAGTTAAAAAAGAAAAAGTTTTGTGTAAAAATGGCATAGTGATTTGAAATTTTCTTTCTATTCTTTTTAGGATGTTACTGCTACTAAAGGGAATGAATTTGAAGACTACTGTTTAAAGCGTGAGCTTCTTATGGGTATTTTTGAAAAAGGATTTGAGAAACCTTCTCCAATTCAGGAACAAAGTATACCTATTGCATTAGCTGGAAGAGATATAATGGCTAGAGCTAAAAATGGAACAGGAAAAACTGGTGCATATTTAATACCATTGTTAGAAAGAGTTGATTCAACTAAAGATTATATTCAAGGTTTGTTATCTTATTTGTTATCTTATTGTTATCAAAGCCTTGTTAAAAACTCAAAAGCTTTGCTCAATGTGTAAACGCAATATTTTACATATAATTTACAATTTAAATATTGTCTATATTAATTAAACTCTTCAATTTGGTTATACATATCTGCAAAAGAGTTACAAACATTTAATTTATAATAAAATAAATGAATAAGACTTAAATAAGATATAAAAGTATTTTATATCTTAATTCGGGATTTCTTTTAATTAAAATATTTGATCAACGCTAAATTTCTTTAGACTGTTGTGATTAGTCTGGTTTTTTAATAATTATATTGAACGTTTATTTTCTAGTTTTATCTGATGATTTATAAAATGAATTAAAATATTAAAGTTTAAATTCTAATTCTTAATAATAATGATAAAAATATTAATAATATGGTTTTATAATAAGATTTTATATCATAATTCAAGATAAATATAAATATTTTTTTATTAAATAACAGCTATTGAGTTTAGTGATAAAAACAGAGTTTAAAAGTTTTTAAAAAGTTAAAAATTTAAAGACTGAAAGCATTTCCAGATATTGCAATTTGCCATCACTTAATTCGAGCCTTGAAGATATATTTTTTTAGTTATTTAGAGACAGGAAGTGTTTTTAAATATTTGTGATGTAAGTAATCACAAATATCTGAAAATGCCCTGAAGTTTTTTTTAATTATTTAGATTTTTACTTAAAACAATTTATATCATTTTTAAAAAGTTTATAAACAAAGTTTGTTTTTTAAAAAGTTTATTAACAAAGTTTGTTTTTTAAAAAGTTTATTAACAAAGTTTGTTTTTTAAAAAGTTTATTAACAAAGTTTTTAAAAAAGTTTTTAAATGACTTTTAAATCTCAAGATAAAAGTTTGTTTTTAAAATTATCAAGCCGTGGTGGTTGGTGGATTTTAAAAAAACTTCTATTAAAAAAATTCTTTATTAAATAATTTTTATATAGAATAGACATACTAGATTAAATATTTTTTGTTATTGTTTGCTTTAAGTATTAAGTTATATAATAAATGAAAATCTATTAATACGTGAAGTTTTAAATTTGATAGTTAGTAAAACTACTGTTAACTTTTTATTGTTTTAGCATTGGTTCTTGTTCCTACTCGAGAGCTTGCATTGCAAACTTCACAAATATGCAAAGATCTCAGCAATCATCTTGGTACAAAAGTCATGGTAACATTGGGTGGGACTAGTTTAAAAGATGACATAATGAGACTTTATCAGACAGGTAAAATATGTTAAATTTAAAAAAAAAAAAGTCAATTTTTTTGATTTCATTAAAAATTGAAATTTGTGTTATTATAATAATTACCTTATATTGATGTTGTTTTTTTTTAATATGTAGTATTTATTTACCTAATTTATGAAAAAGTTTATAAATTTAAAATCATTTTTACATAAAGCTAATTTAAGTGTTACCAAAAATCATTTTCGGTTTTAATTAATTCTTTTCAAACATTCAATCATTAGTTATAATTTTTAATGTAGCAATTTAAATGTAGTAAGCAACTATATCCTCTTTTAATGTCCAGTAAGAGCGTAGTAATACCACGTCCTTGTTAATGATGCACTTGTTTCTCTGCACAACATCCTTTTTGTCAAGGTTTGTATTTTGGAGTTAAAGAGTTGAGAGAGGGTTTTAACCAAATTAAAGTAGCCTCCTCTACTGTCCCAGCCTTTAAGGAGGTGAATAAAATTAAATTAAATCCTTATTTAACTTTCATTTTTAAGAAACATGGTTTACTATTCTAGCTGTTCAAACTTTCCCAGAGTTGTGATGACAAGTTTTTTTACATTCTGTTGATTGCTGGCAATTACTTTTATCTTAATATAGATTTTTTTTGTTGGGAGTTAGTTGTTTTTGATTATAAAAAAAAATTTCTTAACAGATTTTTACAGAAATATTCTTGAATTAATAACTTTTTATCTTATTTTAACTAGTCAAATTAGCAAAATAATTTATTTATCTGCTCTAATTTTCTACTTTAACCTTTGAGTTTAGTAATTAAATATATGTTTTTTTTGTTTTTTTTTTTTCTGTTGTTAGAAAATATTTTGATTTTATAGTACATGTTGTTGTTGCTACTCCTGGAAGAATTCTTGATTTAATGAAAAAAGGTGTTGCTGATATGTCTAAGTGTCAAATACTTGTAATGGATGAGGTAAAAATATTTTAGGTAAAAATTTAATTAGACTCACACTTGATGTTAATTTATTCACAAACAGTGAAATAAAAATTTATCAATAACTTTTTTTTTTTACAAGTTTATTTTTTTGCATTTTAGCAAATTCTTGGGGTCAGGGCAATAACATCCGTTTTCGCCATGTATGATAACATCCATGAAACGACATCCGAAATTTCATTGATGTATAATAACATCCGTGCAACAACATCCCAAATTTCATTGATGTATAATAACATCCGTGCAACAACATCCCAAATTTCATTGATGTATAATAACATCCGTGCAACAACATCCCAAATTTCATTGATGTATAATAACATCCGTGCAACTACATCTGTAGGTTTTTTAGATGTAACTACATCTGATTTTTTTTTTTTTTTTTTAATGCATAATTTTAACCAGATATAGTTACGCATCTGACTTTTTTTTAATATAACTACATCCACCAAAAAAAATTATTGTAATGCATTATTTTAGGCATAATAAATTTTTTTTTTTTTTTTATTTATAATTTGATATACTGCCTGCCCAAACCTAACCCTCAGTTGATGTAGCAGCACTTTGTTGCGAGTCAGGCTATTTGTCAGTCAATGTAGCAGCACTTATATAATATAATAATTATATATGTAACTTATAAATGTAACTACATCCGAGAAAAAAGTAATTTAAAAATGCATTATTTTAACCAGATGTAATTACATATCTGATTTTTTTCGGATAGTTACATCTTTCTAAAGATGTTATTAGACATCAATTAAATTTCGGATGTTGTTGCACAGATGTTAATTCAGTAAAGAAAAAAGCGGATGATTGTACACAAAAATGTGCGGATGTTATTTCACTACTCCATGGATGTTGTTAGACAGATGTAGTAATCTTTTCCCAATTCTAGCACATTTAGATAAGTTGAATTAATGTTTATACCAATTAAGTTACAGTTAAATTTCTATATTATATTTATGTAATTAAAGTGGCATTCCTAAAAAAACTGGTATTAAAAAATAGAAATAAATCTATTATATTTAAGTGTTTATTTAGTTTCTTGGAGAAAATTAAGTTGATTAGGAAAAAAAAAACATTTGGTTGATCCATAATTAGGGAAAAGATCAGCAAAATTGAGCACATTTCAAAATACTCAAGGTCTTGATGTCTTTTCAAACAAAATTTTAGGATATTCTACAGTACATCTAGATACACTCCATTCATTTATCCATGGATACATTCATACAGTGCATCTAGATACTTCATTTTTGTATCCATGTATACCTCCTTACAGTACATCTAGATACTCCGTCAGATTTTATCTAAATCAGAATACTATAAAAGTTATTGCCTTTTTTTGGATGAACTCATCATTTTTCAATAGTTTTGTGCAACGTATAGGTCTATATCAGTATTTAGAGTGATTCATAAAAAATCAGATGATTAAATGAGTTCATATATGTTGCAAACATATCCTGAAAATTTGTAAACAAGTACATATCCAATATCAAGTTATCGCATTTTAAGTTTTCATGAAACTCTTGAAATGGAAAGCTGAGAACAGCACAAGTTTAAAAAATATCTTTTAATAATTATAATTTCTTATTTTTATTTCTTTTAAACTCTTTTTTTTTTTTTTAAATGTCACATCGAATTTAGTGACTTATGTTTTACTTTCTGAACATTTTGAATGGTAACTAAGAGCGTTGCTAGGTAAACTTCAAAAAATGGATAGTTCAAAAAGTTATCAGAATTAGCTGATATAATAATGCTGTTAAAATAAAAAAATTCGTTTTTTAAAATTTAAACAGCATCTTGTATTTTTTTAATTTTTCAAAAAAATCATTTTTTTTTTTTTTTTTATTCTTTTTTATGACTACCATCTTGATAATTATGAGTTTTATAGATCTATGTTTATATTAACAGGGGCTTTTCTAGACTGTTTTGACAGCGCCAACCGTATTTGGGCGCTGCCCAAATTTAGAAATTGAGGTTTTAATATTGGCTAATATTGTTTTGTTATTGTTTTTTTGCAAAAAAATACCTACATAGAGCAAATTTCATTACAGCGCGCCCAAATTATTTTCCTAGAATAGCCCCTGATTATCTTTATGTAAAAAACATGAAATTTTTAAATTTTGTTTTAAACCAACTAAAATTATGTACCTTGTAAGTTTGTTTGTTTTTTGTTAATTATGTACTTTGTAAGTTTTTTTTTTCTTTTTATGTAAGTTTGTTTGTTTTTTGATTCAAAAAAGTAAGTAGTATTTATCATTATTGAGATATAAACTCTGGATCACTTGTATTTTTAAATACATTTTTGCTAGATACTAGAAATATCCTTTTAAAAAAATATATGTCTATGTTAATTTTATTATATTTAAAAGATAAACAATTTGGAAAAGTTTCAAAATGTTGATTTTAAAGAGCTCTTGAATAAACTAATCTCAAAAAAACTGAAACAAATATTCAAGTGTTGCTTGCTGATGTGTATTTAGCTATTTTGTGCCTGTCATAGTGGCCATGTGGTGTGTTTCTAGTAGTGGCCACACTTTTTAGTTATAACTATATAATTTGAAGTAAAGAGTTCTTATTTACTTAGGCTGATAAACTGTTATCAATGGACTTTAAAAAGTTGCTTGATTCATTGATACAAATGCTTCCAGAAAATCGCCAAGTACTTTTGTATTCTGCTACATTTCCATATTCAGTCAAAGAATTTAAGGTAACTTATGTTGAATTGATAGTTGAGTTTTTTATTTTTAGAAATAGTGTTCTTAGATACAGATATATCCTCTCTCTCTCTCTGTGTGTGTGTGTGTGTGTGTGTGTGTGTGTGTGTGTGTGTGTGTGTGTGTGTGTGTGTGTGTGTGTGTGTGTGGTAAATATTTGTGTGTGTGTTTTTTAGTATTTTTAGATTTTAACCTTTTTTTAGGATAAATATTTGTCAAAACCTTATGAAATAAATTTAATGGATGAGTTAACATTAAAAGGAATCACTCAAGTAAAATTTTTCTATTTTGTTTTTATTTTTATCTATACAATATCATTTTAATGCCATTATCATTATAATTCAAATCAAATTATCAAATTCATTATCAAAATATCAAAAAAATAAAATATTCAAATCGAAATATCATATTAATTCAAAGATTATTTATAAAAGTTTTTAAATCATAGGTTTTTATAAAAGTGCTTCATCATAGGTTTTTTTTAGGGAAAGTTTTATATAAAACAGCTGAAGAAAATTTAATAGTTTTCAAAATTAATAATTAAATTAATAAATTGCAATATTTTTCAAAAATTAATTTAATATCATTTTTTGTTTTTTTGCAAATGATTTGAACTATTTAAAATATAAAAACTATTAGTTCTTCTTTGCATGCCAAAGTTTAATTCTTATATATGTAGAGATGTTTAGGTGCATACCTTTGATGCATTAAATGCAAAATATCCATTTAACTTTATAAATAGGAATTTGGTCTTGAGCTTTAAATTGCATGTTGAATGTTAAATTAACCTCTCTGAGTTGTACCACTTAGTAAACTATTGAAGATCTATTAAAGACCTTGTAAATATTAAAAGAGTTGACTTGTATGATATATATATCTTATATAAGTATTTAGAAAGACCTGAGCTTTATTATGTTGGATTTCTCAAAGAGACTTTGGTACAAAGCTAAGAACAGTTCTTTTCTATGCGAAACTTGAGTTTCACCAAATAAAATTTCTCCAAAACATTTTTTGGTAACTTCTCAAATATTTTAACCAATAAAAACTAATTTATTGAATCTAATTTTATTCTAATTATTGAGAAAATAGGTTTAAAAGGTAAATATTTTTTGTGCTTTTAAAAGCCAATTTACTTCCAATTATTTTAAAAGTTAATTTTTTTTTTTTAAATTTAAAAGACAAATGTATTTTGTAAATATCTTTTGTTATTACTATTTCTAATATTATAATTATTGTTATCATAGGTAATATTTTTATTAATTTTATTATTATTAGTATTTTTTTGTTTGTTTTCTACTTAACTAATTGTTTTATGTCATTATTAGTTATTACATTTTATCAGTTTTTAACTGTTTGTAGTCTAACTTTGTTTTTAACAGTTTGTAACTGTTTTTAACAGTTTGTAACTGTTTTTAACAGTTTGTAACTGTTTTTAACAGTTTGTAACTGTTTATAGTCTAACTTTGTATATATAGCTATTGTTTTTAAAACTGAAAATTTTTATTGTTTTTAATACCATTGTTATTATGTTTGTTGTTATTATTATCATGGTTAAAATTATGGTTTTTAAAGTTGTAATTGTTTATTATTATCACCATTATTAGGTGTTTACGCATCATTAGTGATTATACTATCGAATTTGTAAACATCCTTGAATTGTAAAATCATGTAATTCAGAATATATATTAATTGATTTATTAATAATTAAAAAAATCCTTTGTAATTTTTTTATTGCTTTTTAGTATTATGCATTTGTTGAGGAAAAGCAAAAGGTTCATTGTCTAAACACGCTATTTTCTAAAGTATGTGTACATTAGAACTATAGCAAGATTACTATTTTTATTACATGATTGTTATCGGTATTATTTCATTAAAATATTAAGATTTGTGTGCTATGTTTTTATTAAGATTTTTGTGTTCTGTTTTTATTAAAATTTGTGTGCTGTGTTTTTATTAAGATTTGTGTGTTGTGTTTTTTAGAGTTTTTATGCTATGAAGACTTACTAATTTAAAATTTAAAAATATTACTAGATAACCAGATAAAGTAAATAACTAATAATAGTTTTAAATTTTTAAAAAACTTTTTAGCTTCAAGTAAATCAGTCTATAATCTTTTGTAACTCTGTCCAAAGAGTTGAATTATTGGCACGTAAAATCACGCAGCTTGGATATTCATGTTTTTATATACACTCTAGAATGCAACAGTCACACAGGAATAGAGTTTTTCACGATTTTCGCTCTGGTCAGTGTAGAAATCTAGTTTGTTCAGGTAAATAATAGATTTTTTTTTTTTTTTTTTTTTTTTGTTGTTGTTGTTTTTTTTTTGTTTGAATATTTCAAATGACATTTTGATTTTAGATTTCAAAAGATAATCAAAATTATTTAAACATTCTAATATTAATTTTTTTAGATTTGTTCACAAGAGGAATTGATATCCAAGCTGTTAATGTAGTTATAAATTTTGATTTTCCAAAAAATTCAGAAACATATCTCCACCGAATTGGACGATCAGGACGCTTTGGCCATTTAGGTAATTTTTAACTTTAATTAGATAAAGTGTACTCTTTTGTTATGTTTAGGTGAGCCATATTTGTAGCCTATAATAAAATATTATAAGATTAAAAGTATTAGATGTTTTTACATTATTCTATTATATATTTATTTTATAAGCAATATTATTTTGTCCTTTTAAACTGTTAAAATTTTTTGTTGTTGTAAATCACTTTTATTGTTGGTCTACTAAACTAATAAATTTATAAAGGGAATAACACTTCTAATGTTAAAGTGGCTTTTTAAATACAAGTTATGAACTATTAATGATTTAATGGCTTGTTCTGCCCTTTAATTTGAAACCTTTTTTAATTTGAAGTAAAATGTTGTGATGTTGAAACCTGGTAAATTTTGATAGTCAATATAATTTTTTTGTTACAGGATTTTATTAGCTTAGTTATCTTTTTTAGAAATCTTTCAAAATTTATATTTTTAGTTATATTAAATAAAATTTATATTTTTAGTTTTTATTGTTTAACTTCTATCTAGCTAGCAATATTTAAATGACATGGCCTGTAATAACTTGATCTTTTTATCATGCATAAATTTTCATGAAGTGGATTGCCTGAATATATATTTTATTGCTGAAGGTCTTTTCTAAATAATAATGTTTTAAAAGTGTAAGAAATAAGAATTTGAATACTATTTTATGTTTTTTGTTTGTAAAAAACTTTGTATTAAGTTTGTAAAAAATCAAAACATTTTTCTATGGTTTGTAGAATTCACAAAACCTTTTGTGTTTTGTTATTTATAATTATTTGAAAATTTTTAGTTTAACTTTAAAGGTTTGATAGATATATGATGATTTAAAGGTTTGATAGATATATGATGATTTAAAGGTTTGATAGATATATGATGATTTATGGAATTTCTTCACCTGAAAGTTTATGAAGAAATTTTTATACTTCTGATTTTTTTATTATTCTTCTACGATAATTTATGGATATTTTTTTTTATTTAAGCTCGATTTTTTTTTAAAGCAAAGTTAATGCAAAATTTTTGAAAGTCTGTATCAATTAAGTGAAAAATCAAATTTAAATTCAGTAATCAAAAGTTTATTAGTGAAATATGTTTGCCACATGTTTGCCTTATCAGATACTGATACATTAAAAGTATATATATATTTTGATATCCTAAGATGTTTTGAGAGTTTCTTTATCAGAAATTGATGAAGAAAAGTTTATATTTTTAATTTATGTATTAACATGATGGTTTATGAATTTTTTTTACCTGAAATTTGATGAAGAAAATTTTATATTTCTGATTTTATTTTTAATTTATGTATTTACATGATGATTTATGAATTTCTTCACCTGAAATATCATGAAGAAAATTTTATATTTCTGATTTTATTTTTGATTTATGTATTTACATGATGTTTTATGAATTTCTTCACCTGAAATATTATGAAGAGAATTTTGTATTTCTGATTTTATTTTTAATTTATGTATTTACATGATGATTTATGAATTTCTTCACCTGAAATATCATGAAGAAATTTTTGTATTTCTGATTTCTTTTTAATTTATAACTTTGCATGATGATTTATGAATTTCTTCACCTGAAATATTATGAAGAAAATTTTGTATTTCTGATTTCTTTTTAATTTATGACTTTGCATGATGATTTATGAATTTCTTCACCTGAAATGTGATGAAGAAAATTTTATATTTCTGATTTTATTTTTAATTTTTAGCATGTCAATTTATGAATTACTTAATCTAAATTTTAATATTTTGTTGCTTTTTTTCTCCTTGTTAAATAAAAGATTTTTTATTTACTATTTGTTTCAATAAAATATATTTTTGATCTTATGCAGTTTTTTATTCTGGATTACATAATTAATGATGAAGAATTTCCATGCTCATTCTGACTAAATGAGGATTGGTATTTTCTGATAATGTCTACAGTTAAGAAGTTTAATATTTATATTTTTAATTATAATGATGAAGAATTTCCATGCTCATTCTGACATAAATGAGGATTGGTATTTTCTGATAATGTCTACAGTTAAGAAGTTTAATATTTATATTTTTAATTATAATGATGAAGAATTTCCATGCTCATTCTGACATAAATGAGGATTGGTATTTTCTGATAATGTCTACAGTTAAGAAGTTTAATATTTATATTTTTAATTATAATGATGAAGACTTTCCATGCTCATTCTGACATAAATGAGGATTGGTATTTTCTGATGTCTACAGTTAAGAAGTTTAATATTTATATTTTTAATTATAATGATGAAGAATTTCCATGCTCATTCTGACTTAAATGAGGATTGGTACTTTCTGTCTAAAGTTAAATGAAGTTAAATGTTTATGTTTAAAATTATAATGATGACAAATTTCCATGCTCATTCTGAAAGTCTTCTTCATCAGAATCCTCCAATCATCATACCTCTTATAACTACCTTAAAGCTGACTGGGACCCTTTCCATGATTTTCTTTTGTTTTCCTGCTGACAAACGTGCTTCTTATATAACTTCTTGGATTCAGATTCCAAGTCAAGCCTCGCTCTTCTCCATGGTTTTCCTCTTGTCTCCTTTTCCTTTACTGCTGCAAATTCGGATCGTAGCCATCGTAGCTCCAAAAAACAGATGTCTGTTTACTATTGCTAAAAGCCATTGTAAAAAATGTCAAAGCCCATTATTCTAAAGTCACAAAATTTTGTGTTTGATCACATACAAAGCTGAATTTTTTGCTTTTCATCAATCTCATCTCTTGTTCCACTAATCGCATCCTACCTGATATAGCAAACAGGTTGATCCAATGCTTGACACCAGCTGTCTTGTATCACTTCTGTATTTAATGTGATTTCCTCCTTAGACTCTTCTACAGCTTGTGGTTCAGACAATCTAACCTGTTATAGTCTTGCAGAAGTGTTCTCTGCAGTTGTCACCTAATTTTAAAACTATTTAACAAGTGGTTATCAGAGTCTAGTTTTTCAGCCTGCTGGAGAGTGGCATCTGTTTTCTCTTTTTTTCAAAAATTCTGGAGAGCAGTCTACTTGTCTAAAAGAATTTCAACTTATCGCGCAATATTTTTTAAAGAATTCAAAGAATTTTTCAAAAATTTTGTTTTGGAGTAAAAATTTTGTTTTGTACTCAAAAAAATTTCAACAACTGGAGATGGAGTCGTTACTTTTTTTTACGACTCCACACCCTTGTGTCTAACTACCGTCCCATTAGTCTATTTTGTATTTTAAGTCTATTTTCATTCTATTCTATTTTCATAAGTGAAGTTTTTTAAATTTTTAACATAATCTCTCAATTTAAATCTAATAATTTCTGATCATCAATATGGATTTTAATCTTCTCATTCTTCTGCTTATTTGTTAGCGATAATAACCAAATGGTTTTATCGTGTAAGGTGTAAAAACCCATTAAAAGCATAGTAAAACCCGCTATTTCAACCAACCTACAACCATCGTCACACTATTGTAATGTTGTTTCTCTGTCTCTTTTTCATAATTACCTTCATGAGCGCTGCTATAAAGATCAAGCGTCTCTTGCGCCATCTACTAAAGTATGTTCTCATGTTACTTGTCATTCAATTAAGTCTCTTTCTTTTACTGTTACTGTTCTTAAGTGCTCATAAAATTCTTGTTTATTTTTTTTACTCGAACATCAGCTCTTCTGTATTTCGCTTTCTTCATCTTGTTTTTCTGATTCAAATAATTTGCAATCTTTTAAGTTTCTGTTAATCGCTATCTTGCTTTATAAACTTTATTCTTCCAGTGATTTCTAATAGTGGTTGCTTGCAGCCTTTTTGGAAGTAAAGATCTTTTTTTTTCTTTTTCAAAAAAAAGTTGATAAAGATTGGTATTTTCTCTAAATATTTATGATGAAGTAGTTTTAAGAATATTTTTATTGTATTCCAATAATATTTTATCTTTATAATGCCTTGATATAACTTCTAATATAATTAAATATAATTCTTTGATTGCTGTTTAAATATCAAGCAAAACGTTTATCTAAATAAATTACTGATTAAAAAATTATTTATTTTTAAGGTATTGCTTTAAATCTAATAACGTACGATGATCGCTTTACTTTGTATCAAGTTGAACAAGAATTAGGAACTGAAATCAAGCCCATACCACCTTCGATTGACAAAAGTCTTTATGTTGCTGAGTTTCAAATAGAACAAACCAATAACGAAAATAAAGATGAGGAATAATTTTTTAAAAAAATGTTTTAAGCTTGTGTTTTGCAAAGTTGAGTTTGTCATCATTGTTGTGATGTCATCATGTAATCATTGTTGTGGTATTCTTTGTTGGTGATGGTGTTATCTAGAAATATGTTCGACGTTTGTATGAAGCTTTGTACGTTTTTGTTTTTAAAAACGTTGCTATTCTTTGCCCCCCTTGGATTTACCTGGGATTTGATACATACAGATTTTCGTGCCTATATAATATACAATGTTAATATATGATTTTTGTTGAAAAGAAAGTTTTTTTTTTTTTTTTGTACAACATGTTCTGCTGTGTTGTCATATCGCCTTGTAAATAGTTTATAATATATCTATTGCAAAGTCTACCTTTCGTGTTGTGTGTTACATAATGGCTAATCTTTTTAAATTTGCATCTTCAAATTCAATTTTGCTTTATGTTGAATTTTTTTTTTCTTTAGACATTTTTTCAAAACTTGTCCAACAGTGCAAGTTGTCAATTTATTTAATTTTGTTTTTATTATTTCGTAATATTTTTGTTCCATTTAATATTAAAATATCTAGATTTATATGACGGTTGTAATTTAAACAATGTTTGCATATCAAGCTTGATGTATCTAGATACTTGTGAGTATTTTTTGAAGGCTTGTATTATGCAATTTTGTTTTATGTAACGACTGACTTGTTTCATTTTTATGGACTTATTTATTTTTATGTTATAGATTTTATTTATATGTGAAATAAAAATAATGCGGCCCGTAAAAAGTTTTTTCTTGTTGTTTTGCATTTCTCAAATTAAAAATCGTTTTACTTGGTTTTTTAGTCAAATTCTAATTGCCGAGAAACAATCAAATATCAAGCAACAGTCTGCAAGTAAGGCATAACGGATCTGGAAAAGTAATTAGGATCCGGATTCCAGGACCGACGACGCCGGGTGATTCACCCCTCCCCTCCTTCCCTACACTTATTTTTTCAGAGAAAATTCTAGACATAGGGGGACTTTTGCTTTAATATTAAGACTATTTTTAATTATAATTAATATATAAAAATAATATATAAAAAATTAAAATAATATTAAGACTTTTGCTTTAATATTTAAGACTATTGTGCCCCTCCACTTAGAAACCCGTGTTGTTAATCATGGATCTTTCCCGGGTGCTTTAATTTTGGATCCGGAACCAATTTAAACTTAAAAACTAATAAAAAAGGTACTTTACACAAGAAATTTTTATTAAATTTTAAAAATAAATATTCAGTAGATACCGATTACTAGCACAAGTAATGATATTAGAAATTCTCTTAAGATCGATCTATCAGGACTTTTTAATGATCCAGCAAATAAATTAACTTTAGTTTTAGACAAATCCAAAATAGACAGATAAAAGAAGTCAGTTAAAGTACTGTCAGACTTAAATTTTTTTTGGAAAAACTAATTGTTTCAACCGGAAGTAGGGCAGATCGAATTTGGAATCAGAGGTTTTGTAATAAAGAGATTGTATTTTTATGTCAATAAAATATGCTTGGGAAAATCTTTTTTGTTTTAATAAAGTTAACTAAAATGATTTTTAATGTTAATAATTCATTAAATTTTTTGCAACGCCATCTTTAGCACTAACATTTTCATACAAATATAGCCGCACTTACGCAAAATAAACAAATATTATAATTCTGTAAGAAAAAGAAAATTTTGATGGGCGAAAAATGTTTTCAAACAAGCGTAAAACACGTAATTGCACAAAAAGCAAGTTTGGTGGAAATCCTAACCCTCTTGCAAATACCGAAACAGGCAGATTATTCATGATTTTTATTTTCTTAACAATACTTATCCAAATTATTGTTTCAGCGTAATTGTAAAACTTAGCTGAAAAAATAATCTTGATAGGGAAAAATGTCCACTTTTGTAAAAAAAAAAGTTGGAGTGCTTCTAAACATATCCGGGTTAATTAACCAAAGTAAATGCAAAGTATTAACAGAAAAAAAAAACTTCTAACTTCTAGAAACTTGGATAGGCTTTTTGATATCAGTTTCTGCACATGTGATCTTATAGTTGTTCTTTGTGATGATAAAAATATCAAATGTAGTCAAGATTATTGTCTTTTTAATTAATTAAATTGAGAGATTATGTTAAAAATTTATTAATTAACTTCCGGAAGCAATTTTATCAGAATCTGATTCAGAATCTGTCATCTTTAGCTCTAGTGAGGTAACTTAATAAATTGAAATTTAGGTCATTATTTTACATTTTTAAATTTACTTTCTTTTTTTAACATATCATTTTTTTATATCTAATTTTTTTGTTTATAAACTTTATAACTTTTCTTTTATAGATGGAAACTTAAAAAAAATCCATCAAGAATTTACATGGTTTAGAAGTTTCCAAAGTTTACTATTGAGTTGATCAGAAACGATATAGAAAGTTCGGCTGGAGCTGCATTAAGAAATTCTCTTATGATCGGTCTATCAGGACTTTTTAATGATCCAGCAATTATATTAACTTTAGTTTTAGACAAATCCAAAATAGACAGACAAAAGAAGTCAGTTAAAGTATTATCAGACTTAAAATCCGTTAGGAATAACAGATAATTTGGTTGCCTTGGTGTTGATGTTAAAATTAATAATGAAACTTTAGTTTTAGAAATAAGTTTTTAGTTTAGTTAGAAGTAAATTTAGTTTTAGAAATAATAGAAACTTTAGAAATAAAAAAAGGAGATGGTGAGCTTGTATTAAAGAGATCAACAGAAAAAGAACATGACATGACTGTGACTAAAAAGAACTTCTCCCTAACCTTTACAGTGAGGAGTATCTTACTCACAAAGTTTTTTCCTTTTGTTGGAGCAACAGGAAAAAAGCAAGCTCAGTGCTTGTTCGAAGTTCTTGAAGAGTACGGTACTTTAAACACTCTAAAAGCAATTTGGTAGACAATACTTTAACAAACACAGGTCATAAAGCAGGATTGATTGTGGATTTAGAGTAAAAACTTTGACAAAAACTTCAGATTATAAGCAGCAATCTTCATTATGGGAATGCCTTTAGATCTTTGTTTTAAAAAATTGATGAAACAACTAAGTCACCAAAGTATTTTTTTGAACCGATAGGAAAAATGGCAAATATCAATAATGAGCTTCATTTAGTTGTTAATTTTGGTATTTTTAAGTCTCTTTTTTAATTATCTACTTAAATTATCTTAAATTTATTTTTCTAAAACAATTAAGAGACTTAAAAATACCAAAATTAATTAAAAATACCAAAAATAAAGACTTAAAAATACCAAAAATAAACCAGAGGTTTTTATATAAAGATTACATTGGAATTGCCACTGAAAATATGAGTGTTAAATATTCAATTTGAAAAATTGGTCTCCTTAATCATTCTCGTTGGTTAACATTGGCAATACGGTTAATGTCTTTATATGTCCGAGAAATAGTTCCTGGTTCTGAATTATATTGGTAACCTATATTGTCCAAGTCTATGATTCTACATGGTTTCTCCATAAAAAGAGCAATAAGTTACACGAAGTGTCGTCTATTATATACTTTATGATTAACCAAATCAAGCTCCAAGGAAAAGAGGTGTATGTATCTAAGAGGTGTATGTATCTATATATATATATATATATATATATATATATATATATATATATATATATATATATATATATATATATATATATATATATATATATATATATATATATATATATATATATATATATATATATATATATATATATATATATATATATATATATATATATATATTTGCTTAGCAAATTTAAGGTTCAATACTTTTTGCCTACTTCCTAAGAATATTTTGTATTCAATGTTAAATTTTATTTATCAGAGGATATATTATATAATGCAATGTAAAGATTACTTGATACTAGAAATCTTTAGAAAGATGGTCAAACTATAAACGAAATCAATAAAGTTCCAGAAATTAACAATGATGCTCATATATGGTATGGGTTCATAAATATTTTTAATGAAGACATAGTTGAACCAGTAACAACTCAAGATTTTACTGATGAAGAGATTGTAGAAAAGTTATTGTCGGGAGAAAAATTGACCTCCCAGATCTTCTTTCACATACACAGAGTGTTGGGAGATCTGTACAAATTGTTTCACAAATATAAAATAAGGTATCTGAAAGAAGATCAAAGGATCTTGTCGTCAGAACCTTAAATAAGTTCAAACAAGCATTAACAGTATCAAATTTTTACAAATTTCATATATATATAATCCAAATATAAATATTATATAATCCAAAGAGAGATCACGCGGATCTACTCACCAATATTTTATATAAACGTATACGTTAAGTAAAGAATATAAAATCAACAAAATAAGTAAGAATAAACCTTTTTACAAATATAAATAAGAAAAGGCAAAGTTATTAATTTATATCATTAATTAATAAATTAATAACATAAGTCTTCTAATGAAAAAATTAGGGTTTTTAATTTACTTTTAAAAAAACGAAAAGTAATGGATAGTTCGAAGTCAAAATTGGGCAAAACAATTTTATTCCAAAGGTGTGGTGCCCGATAGGGCATACAAAATTGATTAAAGTTCGTTTGACAGAAAGGTTCATTTAAAAAATCAGTATTTCTCAAATTGTATTTGTTGATGGGTTTCGGAGTAAAAATATCTTTGAAGACAGATTGAGACAAGTCGTTTTTCCACATGTATTCAAAGCATAAAACATTATATATTTAGCTCGTATATATTTAAAATTCTCATTTCAATAAAATAATGTTTTGCGTGAGAAAAGCGATTTGCAAAGCAGATTAAACGGTTAGCATGTTTCTGACGGCGATAAAGACGTTGCAACTTACTTTTTTCTGTACTACCCCAGGCGATATTAGCATAATTTAAATAACTGTGTATAAATGAATAATAAAGTTTAATTAAAATTTTTTTATTGAGGTAGATTCGTGCTTTATATAAAACTCCTATGTTTTTTGAAATTTTAGTGCTTATGAAGTCGATATGATGATTCCAAGTGATGTTTT